AAAAAAAAAAAAAACATCATCTGCGAGACCCTGAAGTTACAGAGAAAAACATGTTTAGAGAGCTTTAGACGGGTCCCCCCTCTCTCTTTTGAGTTTTCTTCCGAATGAAGTTAAAAATTTATACGATCTTGATGCGGTGTGCGCGATATAAATCGGATATTGTGTGTTAAAATTATGCAAGAACAGCTTTTCCGTTTTTAAACTTAAGCCGTTTTACTTTACCGAGCGAATTGTTTCGCTCCTTTACCTTGTTGTCCAAAAAAAAAAATGGTACTAATCTCTCTGCGAATGATAAGTGTAACATATAGGACAAGATGGTACAACGGAGTTGTGTATAAATGTTGAATAATTAGTTTTTTTCGTTGTCACGTTGAACGTGATGCGCTATATATATATATATATATATATATATATATATGTATGTATGTATGTATACATATAATGCCAATGCGTAAAATATATATGATGTAACACACAAACGTACACACACACACAACACACAAAAGATGTGAAGAGCGCATGGGTGTCCCTCTGTGTGTGAACGTAACACGACACGTATATTCTCTAAATGTGATGGGCGTTTTTTTCGCCGCATACATGTCAATAAAAATTTACATTGTAAGAAATTACAATTACAACAATCGCCACTACGACGAACATGATATGTGAACCCTCCGTGAACACGAACAAATGACATTCAAAATGGCAATTATCGGACTTGCCGACATTATGTTTTCTCTCTCTCTCTCTCTCTATCTATCTATCTATCTATCTATCTATCTATCTATCTATCTATCTATCTATCTCTTTCTTTTTATTAATTACTAAGATTTAACAAATTCGCAAATGTCAATTCCGATATTATTCAAAAAATGTCTAGTTTCTTTTCCCGCGAGTATGTCTTACGCACATTGTCGCATTGTTACATTTATATCCTTGTTATTTCGCGCCTAATATGCACCCTTCTCCGAAATCAGTGGCCATGTTGTATGTGGTGCAACGCTTTTTACATTGCCGTGTTTTCGGCACGCGCGGTCGAATCAGATCGATTCAATTTTTACGATATCACCGTATTCGAAATTAATAAGAAAAAAAAAATTCTCAATTAGACTCACTCACCGTGGATGATATGTGTAGATCGATATACTTGTTGTTTCTTCGAAAAATAGCCTGCCCCCTCGTATCGGCGGAAAAACGACGGTCCCGAAAAGAAAAACGCAGCGCTGTAAACATCATTCACTTGTGAACTGTTTGTTTGCACCGAAAACGTTATACAAAAATTGCCGTGATCACTCATTGGGGCTGAAACCTTTTACATACCTCGAGATTGTTTACTTCGGAACGTTGTTTTGTGTCCAGATGTTTCAAACTGCGAAGTTGACGCTAAACTTCTGTGTACGTTATGCGGCCAGTAAACTAATTGCGATCATTTTCGTCCCGTTGCGCTCGTCGGCACAACTAGCCGTCGAAGGCGCGAAAAACCTGGCGCGACTAACAGGTTGCATTCGATAATCGCAATATCGAACCATCGATAGATTTGTCGATCTCCGGGTCAATCTCCGCGCGCCGTTTTTAAAAAAAAAAAACAGTGTGATAAGTGACGCCCTGTATATTATTGGATAAGACAAGATGTGTCGTACGTTTTACGTAACATTGGTATATATATATATATTGTTGTAAATAATAAATAGGTTGTACGTTGTATATTTACGCCTTGTGTACATTTTTGTGATTCTAATTAAAAATTATATTCGAGATAAATATCATTTTATATATATATATATAAGTCGTAGAAGATGCACCGCGCGCGCATTTTATAAGAGTTTGTTTTTAAGTTTAAATTTTTTTTGTTCGAAAAAAAAAAACAAACAAATTTTCCCTTTTTATGTAAAAACGAATTCCCCGTTCCGCATATATGTGTTAATATATCAAAATTATTTTGTAAATAAATAACTGTATAAATTTGCGTTGTCCATTTTTATGAAAAAAACGATTTGAAGCGACCGAATGAGCGTGCGATTTAAATGGACAAGTTCTGACATTCGACCAATCGGATTCACTTCGTCAATGAGACGTTTCCTTCGCCATCTTGTCTTTTGAGAACGCCCGACGCCGACGGCCCGAGGAGTGGAGGAGTCGTCAGCTCGAATGCCGTTTACTATCGGCTGGCAATTCGTAAATACGTGTAATATACGTCACCGAATGATAGTAGCGTGTTGCTTTGCCCACTCGTGTTGTTTCGGGATATTGTGCGTGCGGCACGTACGCTTCATGGATTGGCTATAATTGTTAATACACATTTTCTTTGCGACTGATATAATTTTTTAGAAAAAAGGTACGTAAAGATTCGGCAATTTTTTTCAGGTTATCGATGATGACATTGAAGTACACGTATATTACAACATGTTTATTCCTGTCAATCATTGATTGACGCGGCGTTAAAAATTTTTTATGTTCTTAACATTTTATCGAATAGAAATAGCACGCACACATATATACGTTACAAGGCAATTCGCAGATTTTTATTGAAGAATTTGCCACGTAAAATTCTGACGAAATGCTCAACAAAGTGTTTCGGAGTTTCAATCATCATTTTTTTCTTATGGAATTTATTGTAATTAAAAATTGCAGCGGTAATGACGTATTTCTTGATCATTTTTGTTTTTTCTATTGCATTTGTTGCAGATGAGAGGGCTTATATATTTTTGTATACTTTTGTTATGTTCCACTCAGCTTGGGGCTGATAAAAAGATCAAGTATGTTACAACTTTGATCGACGCCAAGTGGAACGAAACACCTCTTGTTTTGGAAGCAGCTGAATATCTCAGCGACGAAAATCCACGTTACTTTTGGAAATTTATTGATGCATATTCTCAAAAAATTAGTAATCTTGTAATAGGTAATTGTTCAAGTTATTGATTCAAGTTGACTTCAGAGTATCTTTTATTCTGTTTGCTTATCTTTTTTAATTTATTTGTAAACAGGTACGGAAAAGGAGAACTATGATATAATTCTGGAATTGATTAAAAGATATTTGTCCACATCAGAAATAGCAGTGTTTAAGTTAGGATTATCTTTGCGTATTTATTCCGCTCGTGTTGAAATGTTTTCTCAAATGGCTGTGAATAAAAATGTTTCCTCACATGGATGTAACAATATTGTTGACATTGGTGGAACATTTACATGTTCTTTGGAAGACATAGACAGATTATTAGAACAGGTTGGTAATTTGTATCTCTTGTTGTTAATATACTTTTAGTTTAGTAGCTTTATATCACATTGAATTACCTGCAGGATGTGTGGAAAACCACAGATACTTACGATGTAGACCACAAGTATCTAAGCACAACAGAATCTGACAAAGCAATAATATTGTATGGCCAAATTGGAACTCCAACTTTTATCGAGTTTCATGAAAAGTTGAAGAATATAGCGGAAACAAAGGGAATTAATTATATTCTTCGTCACTATGTGAAGGTAGCATTAGAAATTATATATTTTATAAGTATATTACCTGTATAGTAGCCAACAGTCATCAAAATTTACAGGACAGGATGGATAAAAAATTGCGTTTATCAGGCTATGGTGTGGAGTTGCAAATGAAATCTACAGAATATAAAGCAACTGACGATTCGGATATAAAAGACACGGAGAAGAGCTCAGAAGTGACGAGCGATGGCATGGAAGAAATTGAAGGAATCAACTTTATGACTTTAAAGTAAGGTGGTTAGTAAGAAGTGTAAGATATTCCTGTTTGTATTTTTTGTACATTACATCGTATTGCGCAATTACCGCTGTGATTTTATGTTTATCTTTTTTTTTTTCTAGACAGTTATATCCAGATCTACAAGCGGAATTGGACAAAATACAAACACATTTATTAGACACTAGTCATGAAATAGGAGCCTTCAAGGTTTGGCAATTTCAAGAATTGAGTCATCAAGCAGCTGAAAGAATTATGAAGTCTTCAGCAGATGCGTTAAATGTGCTAACTGATATATCGCAGAACTTTCCTATGCAAGTATGTGTATTTTATTTTTAAAACAAGACTGTTAAACTATTTATAAAAAATATATATCTACACAAAATTTTCTATGCAATAAAAATTGTTTTACAGGCAAAATCATTAATTAGAACAAAGGTGAATAGTGATATGAAAGCGGAGATGAAATTGAATCAGGAAATATTTATGGCAAGTCTAAATATACAACCGACTGATACAGCTCTTTTCGTCAATGGCTTGTTTTTTGATTTAGAAGCCATTGATGTTTTAACGTTGTTAGAATCTTTGAGAAGCGAGTTACGAGTAATGGAAGCTCTTCACAGAATTGGTACAGGACAATTATATATATATATATGTATATTTTTTTAGTGTATTAAGTTTTTTGCGTATATACAATTATATTTTCATAAATCTTTGTAGGTTTTAGTAATAAAAAAATGAGCAAACTGTTAGCTTTGGACTTATCTGGAAGTACGGACAGTCAAACTTTTGCGATGGACATAAGAGATTCTGCAATTAATTGGATCAATGACATTGAGAACGATCCACGTTACAGCAAGTGGTCGCCGTCGTTAACCGAATTATTACGACCAACGTTTCCCGGAATGATCAGGAATATTAGGAGAAATATGTATAATTTAGTTAGTGTCGTGCTGTATAATCTTCGAGAAATGACAATTATATTTACTATATTTTGTTTAATAAATATATTTTGTTTTTATTCAGGTACTAATAATTGACCCTTTAAGTAGCGAGTCCGCGTCATTGTTGTCTTTAGCACAATCATTTTATGCACATTCTGTGCCATTGAGAATAGGATTTGTTTTTGTGACGAATTACAATACATCCGTAACAGGTTTAATGGATTCCAGTGTCGCAGTCAACAATGCTTATCATTATTTTGCCGACAGTAAGAGCTCGAAAGAAGCTTTGAATTTCTTAATACAGGTAAAAAAAAACTTTGTATCAATTGAACTATTCAAGTAAACTTACTCGCTACCGTTGATATTAACAAAATAAATGTTTGTCATAGTTGGGACATTTTGTCGGGCCGAATGGCGCGGAAATCGACGATATCAAACGAGTTATCCAGTCCATAGACTCGTCCGCTGATACGGATTACATTCTTGGTGAAGAATCAGAATACGACGTGGGTCGGCATTTGGCTCACGATTTTATAAAACGATGCGGATTTAAAAAATTTCCACAAGCTCTGTTGAACGGTGTACCGCTGATGCCCGTTCAGGCAAATTTCGAATCCTACGAGGAAGCTGTCCTGTCTAATATTATGTTGCAAACACCTATTCTGCAAAAAGCAGTCTATCGAGGTGAAATAACGGAAGGAGATGATGTTGTTGATTTCCTCATGAACCAACCCAATGTTATGCCACGGTATGTAAGTTTTTAAATCAAGAGCAATATTTTAAATGTTCCACAGTAGACTAATTGCATCAATCTTCAGACTGAACGAACGTGTTTTAAAAGTTGATAAGAATAAGTGGTTAAATTTAATTGGTTCGATTCCCGAGGATGAGGATTACACTAAATGGAACAGTCCTCAAGATTTATCAACTTACATAATGAAGAACATGCGGTATTTCTTTGTGTCGCGACGCAGTACCACACATCACTTCTACTCTTTCTGGATTGTAACCGATTTGAAATCATTGGCTGGCCGACAATTACTGCGAGAAGCACTTGAATATGTAGTAAGTTCAAAATTAAATTTATATGTATATAACGTACGTTAAAATATATATAGAATTCTTATTATTCTCTTTTTTTTATATAGGAAATAAATACTGATGCACGAGTTGGCGTTATCATCAATGCGGAAAATGATGCGAATGTGAAATCCGATATTAATAAAATCGTTCTTGCTGCATTGAGTGCATTATCGCCGGAAAACGCTATACTATACGTACGTAAAGTTCTCAAAGAAGCCAACGCAGATCTCATTGCCGATGATAAATTTGAGATTGAGGTAAGACACGCGTGTATGTGTGTGTGTAATATACACGTTTACTATTATTATTGTTAATAATTTAATTTAATGATTATTAGGATGAATCTGTTGCGGCGTTGTTAGAAAATCAAAATCCGATATTGTCATTGCACCGACATTACGTAGCAAATGTATTGAATGTAGAAATAGGAGACAGAGCAATTTTATGCAACGGTCGTATTATTGGTCCTTTAGATAGCGATGAAGAATTTACAAGTGACGATTTTTCTCTGTTAGAAAGATTTAGTCAAAGCAGTTACGGAGATAAATTGTTCATAAAATTGATGAAAGATGAAATCTTTAACGATGATGAATACGGTATTGTGACAATTTGTTCAAAACAGTAGTGTGTGTTTGAATTGTTACGTCAGAAATAATTAAACATTTATATTTCATTCAGAAAAAGGTGAAATCACAAATGATATGATCATGAAGATTACTTCGCTTTTGGTACCACGGCCACAAACTCGAAGTCGGTACGATGTTCCTTTCCATGGAGACGATCACAGGTAAATTAATGATATTTTTACGAAATAAATTAAAACTTTTGAGATTAATATGTGAAACTTCTAATTGATGGTATGTATTATATTGTAAAAACGTCACATTCTTTTGCAGTGTTATAAAAATTCCAGCGAACAATCCCGATGAGGTTGCCTTCAATTTCATTGCCATTGTAGATCCGGTTTCACGCGGTGCTCAGAAATTGGGCTCGATATTAAAAACTCTGCAGCAAGCATTGAATTGCAATATAAAAGTATTTTTGAACTGTTTAGATAAGAATAGCGATATGCCATTGAAGAGGTAAAGCAACAGCCCAAGTTGTCTTCATAATTTTGTCTTCTTTTTGAAACTACAATATTGTATCTATTTATTTTTTTTTCTAGTTTCTATCGATTTGTGCTTGAACCAGAGCTGCAATTTACAGCGGAAGGAGATATCAGTGGTTCTATTGCAAAATTCACTAAACTTCCCACTTCATCCTTGCTGACACAGTATATTCACGCACCCGAAAATTGGCTCGTCGAAGTGGTTCGCAGTGTTTACGATTTAGATAATATTAAACTCGATAACGTCGCGATGGGCGTGCACAGGTAAAGTTGTCGAGATATTTCTCACGATATATTTGTCTGTCTCTGTTGCTTTTCTCTTTACGAAGTTTTATTATAATTTTGTATTGTAGTGAATTCGAGCTGGAATACCTGTTACTCGAAGGTCACTGTTTCGAAGCAATAGTTGGCAATCCACCGAGAGGTCTTCAGTTCACATTAGGCACCGAAAAACGACCCGTAATGGTCGATACTATAGTAATGGCCAATCTGGGATATTTCCAACTCAAGGCGAATCCAGGCGAATGGATGTTACGACTACGACAGGGACGATCCGCGGAGATATATGACTTTACCAGTGTCGAAGGCCAGGACGTCATTCAGAATGGCAACGACGTGAAAGTTCTGATAAGTTCCTTAAGGAGTCACGTGCTGAAGGTCAAGGTTTCCAAAAAGCCGGACAAAGTAGGAGTCGATCTTTTGTCGGACGACGAGAAGGACGCCGGATTGTGGAATTCCATTTCTAGGTACGTTAGATCGGCTGGATTTGCACACGTTTCAATGATTTCCTTAATGCTGGGTGTTGGTACTTAACATGCGTAGAGTGGAAAATTCTGTTACCTTTGGACTTAACTTTCATTTATTCTCTCTTTTTTAGCATTGCCAAATTTTGGTAAGCTTTTCATTATTATGTAGTTAAATACTTTTATATGTAATTTTCTATTAATATACGTATTTTTTAATTAATATACACGTATTTGAATAGAAAAACTCCAGAGGGTGTGTGTTTGAATAAGTTATTATAACAAAGAAACATATTTGTGGCTTGGTATTTTATTAACATCGGAATTAAATTGTGATCTCAATGTATTTTCAATAACAGATCATTCAAATTAGTTAGTCGCATCGCAAGTCACCAATATGTGTATTCTTGCCCGGCCTTGTTAACTTGTGAACTAATTTATCATCGCCTTGACAAAGCTTGCTTTAATTTGAACAGCTTATCGGCTGATATAAAATAGCTAAATTGCTATTGATCCTGATTTTTAATATATTTTACTTTTAACATTACGTTATATTTTCAACACTTAGGACGTTCACATCGGATGAGGGCGAGGACCAAGATGAGAAATTGAACATCTTCTCTCTCGCCTCCGGTCATTTGTACGAAAGATTCTTGAAGATCATGATGTTAAGCGTTATTAAACATACCAAGTCTCCTGTGAAATTCTGGTTCTTGAAGAATTATCTCTCACCGACATTGAAAGTAAGCAGTTATTGTTTAACATATATTGGAACTTATCTTATCTTATAAATACACAGTTAAAAATAGTTGCAGATATAAACGACAAATATATCTTTTTTTTTTCTTTAATATAGGACTTCTTGCCGCATATGGCCAAAGAATATGGTTTCGAGTACGAACTCGTTCAATACAAGTGGCCACGTTGGCTTCATCAACAAACCGAAAAACAGAGAACTATTTGGGGATACAAGATCTTGTTCCTCGACGTGCTATTCCCGCTGAACCTCAAGAAAATAATATTTGTCGATGCTGATCAGGTAAATATAAATTAAAAGTAAATTTAAAAAATTTTTAATATAAATGTAAATGTCTTTCAAATTAGAAAAATATTTTACTCGATTGTTTTTGAACAGGTGGTAAGAGCGGATTTGAAAGAACTAGCGACTATGGATCTCCGCGGCGCGCCGTATGCGTACACACCGTTTTGCGATAGCAGAACCGAAATGGACGGATTTAGATTTTGGAAGCAAGGATATTGGAGGAATCATTTGCAAGGACGAGCTTATCACATTAGCGCGTTGTACGTAGTGGATTTGAAACGTTTCCGCCGTATTGCAGCCGGAGACAGGCTGCGAGGACAATATCAAGCATTGAGTCAGGATCCAAATAGCTTATCAAATCTCGATCAAGTAAGTAATTTGATATCAAAATTTTTTTGAAGATACGAAAAAGATAATAAACCGTATAAGTTTAATTTAAGTTTAAATTATCAAAATCGTTACGGTGTTTTTTTGTCTGTGAAAACAATCAGTAATGATGATTTCAGGATCTGCCTAACAATATGATTCACCAAGTAGCTATCAAGACACTGCCACAGGAATGGCTCTGGTGCGAAACTTGGTGCGATGACGCGTCGAAAAAGTACGCTAAGACCATAGATTTGGTGCGTATTTTTCACATATACATCACAAAAATTAAGTAGATAATCATATTTTCTCTTTTGTTACAATGAACGTTTCTTTTTTTCATTTCTTCTATATAGTGTAATAACCCAATGACTAAAGAAGCTAAGTTACAAGCAGCCATGCGTATCTTACCCGAGTGGGTGGGTTACGATGAAGAAATTAAAGCTTTGCAACAGAAGGTGGAGAATGCAAATAGACAAACGGAGAAAGAAAGTGGTATGTCTCTCACGTTACGTTTCTCGATAGTTTTTTTTTACAAGATTATGTTTGAGATTATTTGTTTGGTTTTTTTTTTTTTTTTTTTGCAGAAACCGTCGATGATGTCTCGAAGCACGAAGAACTGTAAATTTAGACCTATGTACAATTGTAATTGTGACTCTTGTGCAAAAAATTTGAAAAAAAAAAAAAAAAAAAAAAAAAAAAGAAATTTTATACAGTTGTGTAAAAAGAAATTTTCTGTATTTGGTAAGTTGATTAAGCGTTTATACATAAACTTTCTATATATTTCATGTTTGTATATGTGATACATCAACACTTCGCATTCAAATAACTTGCCACCGATGATGATTGCAAACTTGTCCTAAATAATTATTGCATTGAAATTTCTTCGAATCTAGCAAATTCATTAATAACTGATTAACTGGTTGTTGAGATTGCAGTATTCCAGTTATTCATGAACATACATTTCTGTTCATGTTAAACCAATTGTGATTTTTATTATTATCTACTATGCTAATTATAAGGAATAAAGTAAACAAGTGACATTTTTTGTAAAACATCTTTATATATTTTCTCCTATCTGCGACAGATAATAAAAAAACAAAACTTCAACAATACGTGGAAATAAACGCTACTCGGCGTCGCGATATAAAAATCAATTTTTAATAAACGTCCAAGTACATTACGTTATTTTGTGCAAAAATAAAATTTATTTGCACTTTTAGAAAATTCGTCAAATCGTCATTTCTGATCGATTCTTTGATCTCGATGCGAGAGACTCACAGTTCTCGCATCGAGATCAAAGGTTCGAATCCCGATGATTTGAAACGGGTCGGTTATCCGACAAATATAAGCAGCAATAATAATTGTCGACTGAAAGTGCAAATCTTTAATGAGAAATCCTATATCTGTATTTCGGTAGGAGACAACTGTCGAGTGGTTTGGAATCTGAGAGCGTTAAACATTTCGTTTATAAATTAAAAACAATGACGTATATATATGTCTAGGCAGCAAAAAGATTAAATTTGTAAATACAATGGTTTATTGTTATTGTTTTATTTTTTTTATATTTTGTTTTTCTAAATTTTCATTTTTTTGTATCACGTCAGATGTTATCTTTTTGATTAATTATGCTTTGTATATCAGAGTTTTTGTTTGTTTATAGAAGTAAATTAATATTCCATAAATAGTAAAAACATTGATGGAGAAAATATAGAAATATATTGATATACATATGTAATTTATATTATATATTTGTATATATAAATTTATATCATTTCGCATATATTTACTATGTTATGTAAATATTTTTTCACAGACTCGGTGATCTCGACGTGTTCTTTCCTCCTCCCACCGATCTCATTATTAATAATGTGTTTTTGTACTAATGTTACAAGTATATGTATCTTGATATATATATATACAGATCATTGCACGCGGTAATGACGTGACGCGTTTGTTTCCCTGTTTTGTGTGATAACTTATTTTGATCGCGGTACCCAATGAAGCGAATCAGAGCGAAACGATCGAAGAAATTCGATAAGCATTCACGCGCGCGATAATCTTCGACTTCAAATACAAACGATTAGAAGAACAACGGCAGAACATCGACCCGACACGCTTCTTGTCGAATTTTTTCCTTCTATCGCTCGTGATCTCTGCGATGATCTTGCCCCGATCGAGGGAGATCGAGGGCGGCAAAACCAACAACCAATTTCGCGCGCGATAAAATGTTCTATCGTTCGAATCATCTGATCTCACGAAATTGACAGAATGCGTGAAATCCAGAAATCTGATTCACAGATCTCGTCATCTCGCGCGCGTTCGCATTTCGGAGCGTTCGTTAATTTTATATCAGCGTCTCTTTCCCGAGAGAGATATTGAACAGATTGATCTGGGCCGCCGTTCCGTGCGCGCCGTTTCCTCCGTGACGCGCTCGTATTATTTTATGTAAACATACAAGGAGAGCCGCACACAAGCCGCACCACGCACTCTAATGACATCTTCCGACACATCGTAACCCTGCGCTGTGCGAACTTGTCTTGCTTTGCTGCGCGCGGCCAGTTTGGCTCGGCTTTAGCTTGGCTTCCATCAATTGTCCGATGTTCGCGTGCTCGCGTCGTCGCTTGCGTTCCTCTTCGTCGACGATCCGTCAGGAAAATTTAATATACAGAAGAACGCAGCAGATTTGCAAAGATGACATCCGAAATGTTGGCCATTAATCAAAACGAGTGAGTGTTTCTTCGATAACGTGTGTGTTTTGTTATTGTTCTTTTCTCTCTCTCTTTCTGTCTCTCTCTCTCTTTCTCACTACAATAGAATCTCTTCTTGTATAAATTTGTATTTTGATAAACGTTGTGACACGCACGCGTGAATTTGTTGTTGAATTCTTTCGTTCAATGATTCTCTGAAACAAACGCGCGCGCAAAACTACTAAGTACTTGCGCCGTGTAAAATTTGTAAAATAAAAATTTATTTCATTTTACAAAACACTGGAAACTGGTAAAAATGATAAGACCATTGAAAAGACAAATTAGTTTCATTTTTTTTTTTTTTTTTTTTTTTAATTTCTTCATTATTGCGTATTTTCGCAATGGTATAACGCGGCTAGCTCTTATTACCTCTTTATTTACGGCAAATGAACGAATAATCGAGTCACGCAAAGTTGTGTGTCTGTGTATCGAGGACATATTAAATATTGAGAATTCCACACGTTTATCATGTGGTTTTTATCACATCGATTTTATGGTTTATCGTTTTTATATCTCAATTTTTAAAAGATACAACACAGAGGTCACGTATTTTACAATACCATATTTCTTTCCCGCTATCTCTCGTACTTCGACTTATGTTATTGTTTTTTGTTTTTGTTTTTTTGTTTTTTTGTTTTTTTAATCTGGACGTGCGTTTCCGCGTAGGTGTGAAAAATATGATCCTAAATATCCAATTGTGTTACACAAAACCCTACTCCAGATTTTACGACACACACGTGCTCCCGAAAAAGTTGGTAGAAAATGTAGTCGCGTTAGCAGCGGTTGGTGTAGTCCGCGATTTAGCAACGATAATGTCGGTCACCGCGAAAATGGACTTCGGCAACATTATCAACGAGTAAATAATTTATTTAATTACTTCTGACTTTCATTCGTTCGCTTTTTTTTTTTTTTTTTTTAATTAAGCAGTCTTTCCATTTCACGTGAGACAGGTTTCCATTTTCAAAATAATTTAACGTAACTAACATTTTATTCATCTTATATATAATTACAAATTAAATTATTTTTTAACAGATGTGATCAAATTTAATTATTTAATAATAAACGCGCGCATTTATAATATTCTTAACTAAATATATATCATCCGTTGTGACGTAATTTCAACGTATACATATTATGTAACGTATACTATATTATGTATTACAGATATAATTATGGAAGGTAGTAATTTTCGAGAAGATATCATATAACGACGTCTTACGTTTCTGAAACAAAATAATTTCGGACTGGATGTATAAAACGCTCAATACAACGCGATCGTGAGAAAAAAAAAAAAAAAACACCGGAAAAATGACACTACTGAAACTTGGGGCTGATGAAATTTCCATACCCGTGTCAAGTTGTCGAACAATGTTCGATTTCTTATAGAGATAACTGTCAAGTATTTTCACTCAGGTCTATTTATTTTTCCGATGTTTTATCGGTGTTCGTCACACATATATAGATGTGTGCGATCAGTGTGTGTGGTTACACATTTGAGCAATAATTATGATGTGTAATAGTCATTATCATAATATTTACAGCGTATGCATAATGAATAAGCGACCAAACGCATTTCAAGATTCCGTGAATTTGCGTCAAGCGACGGGAAATACTAGGTACTTGATTTTTGCGCTAATAGTTAAGAATGCGTATCTATCGTCGTATAAATTAATAATAATTAATTTTTTCGGGCAACAAAAAAGACTTTAACACTGAGATGTGTTTCAACATTGTTGTAAATTTTATATTTGATTAATTCTTTTATTTGATTAATTCTTTTATTTATTAATTCTTATATTTTATTTATTTTATTAACTCTTTTTTAAATTTTTAATTTAGGTCTTTGTTGTGTAAAAGAGACGATCACAAAATATAACGGCGTAATACCGATGAGCGTTTTTGAAGAGTAAATCGATTCTAGATCGATCGTCGATTGATTTTATATTTAGAACTATCTGCTATCAGGTTTCAACGCACGATCAAAGTGTAATTTTCTAGTGTCGACGAGCGATCGATAAGCTACGTTCCTGTTCTATACTCGTCGGATATAGAATAGGATTTGTGTGTGCTGAGAGAAACTGAGTTGTAAAAATTTGTTTTTTTTTTATTTTATCGCTCGATGATTTTCGAATCGCTCCGCTGCTCGTGCTGTAGTAGGTGCGCGCAGTGCGGTGCCTCTCCACGTGGAAAGTTAACCGACCGTATCGCGGTTGGTTTTGTGCATCGCCATTCGCTCAGTCTCGATCCGCGATTCATTGCGCGATCGACGATCGTTTGCGCGCACTTTCGCAGACTTTTGGTTTTTATTCCGAGATCTACCAAACGTGTGAAATCGTGGAAGAGCTCGCGCGGGTGGACGGCCGATATTTCGCGAGAGATTTTTCGGGAGAAGCGTCGATTGCTATGCCGCAATTCTTTTTTTTTCTCAAGAATTTGTGAAAGTGTGAACGACGTGTGTCGCGCAAAATCGATCGAACGATCGCCGATTTTGCGATTGAGCGCGCTAAGTGACTCTCGAGGAAAGGCTCTGACGGTCGTTTTCTGAGTGTCATCATCTCGTTCGAGACTCTCGAGCGAAAATGATAAGACAAGTATCGCGACCGACGTAATTATATTGATGGAGGAACGCGTCAATGCGAGAGAGAGAGAGAGAGAGGGAAAGAGAGAGAAAGAAAGAAAGAGAGATAAATCGACAATCGACTTTGCGCTCGACGATAAATCGCGCGAATAATTAGCGCGATTGTTTGAATCGCGTCGCGAGCGCGATAACCCGGATCCAATTTGTGAAAGCGTCTAGTGATCAGTTAGTTATTAATCGGTTCGCAAATAACTTTGAAAAACTGGCGGTGACGACGACGAGAAGTTCATTCGTTGAGATCGCTCGTAGAGAAAACACAATTTTTTTATTTTCAGGTTTGAGTTTGAAAGAGGGAAAGAGAGAAGGACATTCGATTTTTTTAAAACCTCTAGAGATCTATCGGTTTTAAACAAACTGCAATTTGACGTATTATTCGCGAGATTAAAAAAAAAAAAAAAGACGATATTAACGTCACAACGATGCGTTGAAACATTCCGGAGCGTGTGTACGTTTTACAAAATTTTGATTGCGGGGACGTTCGACCGATTGTACACGAGACACAATATCTTCTCTGAACGGAGATAGAGGAAGGAGAGATAGAAAGAGACGGAGAAAGAGAAAGAAAGAGAGAGCAGATAGAAAGGGAACGAGAGAGCGACGCATCAACGGGTGGGGATTCGGCGATAAAGACAGACTATTGAAGAAAGGCAGAGCA